GCAAATAGGGGAGAAACAGTTGTAAATAATGGAATTACAGGCTCAAATCAGAGTTTCAGAAAGATCAGTGCAATAGCAACATGAGGAGAAGCTAAGAAAAGGAACGACTTAGAAGCAACTGCCATGTAATCTAATGTAGGGAGTGGGACATACAAACCTATGCAGGTCCAATTCGTGTTACACATTGAACATGTATAAAAGCACATCAGAATAAATTAAAGGTGTTGGAGAGATAGCTTAGCACACAATGCTCTTATAGAGGACCTGAGTTCTGTTGCTGGCACCCACATCAGGCAGCTCACAACCACCTGTAACTCCAGTTCCAGGGGATCTGATGCCCTTTCTGGACTCCATGGGCTCTGCACTAACGTGTACATACCAACACACAGATACACATACCCAAACACATAATTAAAAATAAAAAATAAATCTTAGTAAATTAAAAATAAATTAAAATGAATCTAAGCCATTACTGAAAACTAAAACAAGTTGAACAAGTGAATATAAATTTTATGAAGTTGTTAGTATCACCAAACACAGAAAACTATTCAAGTGATACTTAAAACACTCTTTCAAATCCCTAGCAAAATATATGCTAGAGACAAAAGAATCAGAAATCACCAATCTGTTTTGCCCTTTTACTGGTACAGAAAACGCAGAGACAACCTGATCCAGTTCCCTCAGAAATATGCACAGATCTGCTGGTAAGCACATTAAAAGGTATTTAGTAGGCTCACAGTCCTTATTTTTGGAATGCTTTGGCAGGATGGACTTGATCTGTCTAGACTGTTCCTTTTATATAAGCCTGAGGTGTATGTAGGCACAACTTCCCAGAATATTCCAAGTTATATGAATATCATAGAATAAATTTGAGACGTCTCATCAAAACAGCTCTTTTGTGGAAATGACACTCCACATGCATCCCTTAGGGGCCTATACAGTATGACCTGGATCAGAGCTCGCCCCAGACAGAAGTAAGAAAGTACCTGCAGAAAGCTGTGATGCCTGTGTCTTGCGATAATTTGATCTTTGAAAATATGAACCAGGATCTAGAGAGATGGCTTGGCAGTTAAGAGCACTGGCTACTCTTGCAGAGGACCTGAGTTCTATTGCCAGCACTGACATGACAGCTAACAACAGTGTGTAACTCCAGTTCCAGGGTATACGATGCCCTCTTCTGTCCTTTATGGGTACGGAATGACACAGGTACACTTACATTCATGTAGGCACAACACTCATACATATAAAATAAAAATAGTTAGGCATCGTGGTGCATGCCTTTAATCCCAGCACTTGGGAGGCAGAGGCAGGCAGATCTTTGTGAGTTTGAGGCTAGCCTGGTCTATATAGCAAGTTCTAGGCCAGCTGGAAGGGAGACTCCGTCTCAAAAAGACAAAAATAAAATAGAAATAAATCAAAATAATTTTTTAAAAGAAAACATGTACCAGGTTTGATACCGTTTAAGTCTGATTCTTCTAAGTTCAGTAAGCAAACCGTGTATCTTACCTCACTTAATTTGCACTGCATGTATGTACATGCATGATAAGCTTCCTAACAATATCCACTAAAAAGGTCTATGGAAGAGAGCAGTAGCAATATACATTCTTGGTGCCCGGGTGGAGTCTAACTCATGGAAATGAATCCAGATTCTCTGGAGAAAAGGCTGAAGTTAGTCTCTAGTTATGAGTTTGAGATGCATTATCTCACCTGAAAAAAGCTACGAAGGATCAGCAGAATTCAGTCAAAAGGAGAAAGGCACCAACTTAAACAGATGCCCCCACAGACAAAAGTGGCATAATTTGAGCAAAAAGAATTGAAACAGTGAAACACATGTACATAAAGATCCTTCAAGTTTCTTCACATACAACTTCTAAATTCTGACATCTCTTGGGGGCTGTGTCTTTTGTATACTAATGTGAGTGGTAGCTGGGGGTTCCTAGGTAGCCAAAATGGGGAACCAGCCATGCAGTCAGGGGCCTGGAACGTTCAGTCCCACTGCTTCAGAGGAGCTGAAGGTTCAGGTAACAACTCAGTGATGTTCACACAATGCAACTTCTACACACACCCTTAAGGACTGAGTTCTTAGACGTCGACAGCAGACTGCACAGAGGAAGATGGTACACCCAGAGAGGGCATGAAGTTGTGTCCCTTCTCCAGTAACTCAATCTATGCATTTCCTGCCTGGCTCTTCACCTCGGCCTTTTGTAATACACTTTATAATAAGTAAAAAAGCGTTAAGTCCTTTCCTGAATTTTGTGAACTGCTATAGCAAATTAACTGAACCTAAGGATGGGGTCATAGGAACTCCGACTTACACAGACTGCTGGAAGCACAGGCACAACCATCTGAGGCTTGACACTGGCAGGTGAAGTGGGGCAGGTGGCAGTCCTGTGGGATTGAGTCCTCAAGCTGAGGGATCTGATGCTATCTCCAGGCAGAGGGCAACTAAGAGTTAAATAAGAGGACACCCAGATGGCATCTGCTGGAGAATCCACTTGTTTAATAATGTGGGAAATACTGGCTTATTGGGTGAGCATAGGAAAATCATTTAGGTCTGTCTGTTTTTCTTCCTATATCCTTCCCAATACTCAAAAGAAAAGCAAAGAAATAAATACAAGGTCCCACATTTATAATTTGGAAATATTTCAAGAGGAAAAAAAAAAGGCTTTCTCCAAATACTTGATGAGGCAGTATCTCAGGCGACAAATACAGGAGGTATGGTAAGAGTCAGGACTTTGGCTATGCAACCCCAGAGGAAATAAAGGGTCCAGAAAACATTTTATATACATAACCTCTAGAGAACAAACAGTTTATAAACAACCTCTAGGCAAAAGGTCAGTGAGCAACTCCGGGATAGCTGGATCAGGCTGACACCACCTCTCATCTCATGGATGAATCTCAACTTCACTAAAGGTGAGACACACCACCTGCCTCCAACATAAAGTACAAACCACCACCCATGCAATAGTCACAAGGCACAACCATCTGAGGACAGATGGTAAAAGGACAGAACCAAATGTACAAAATCCCACAGAGCTAACTTCCAGCTTACAGAATACACAGCAAACTACAGAACAAGGTAAATAACATTACGTGGATACAGCTGGCTAGATCAAATGGAGGGAAACGGCATAGCAAATAGGACACTAGTCCTTCGACAATCAAAATGATCCTTAAAATTAAGGGTGGGAGAACTATAACAGATTCAGGGAAACCTTGGCTTGGCTACTGATTCAGACAAACCAATTCTAAAAGCCACTTGAAACAAGTGGGAAAACCAAACAGTCTAGGTATTTGGTGATAAAGGAACAAAAGTTAAGTGTATGATTTTGTTGGAAAAAAATAATCTTACTTTTAGAGAGACATCCACAGGTCAAAGAGCATGTGGAATGCGCCTTAAAGTGCTTTGGGAAAGGCATACAAGTTGAATGGGTGGGTGGTAAAGGAGCTAGGGCAGCAGCACGCTGCTGAGGCAAAGCCGGGTCATAGGGGCACTGTACACTCTACTTCTGTGCATATTGCCAAAACATTCCTAATAAACAAAAAATAGATGAATTAAACTAAATTATCTGGCAAATTTTAAAAAACAGTAATATACAGTTGGCTGAGATACAGGAAAAATTGAGGCTTGGAGGAAACAGACAATTACTTCTCGGAAAAACAACAGAATGTATCAAACTTTTTTCTTAAATTTATATTCACTATAGAAAATATACTTCAAGAATTCTAAAGAAAATTTCACAGATGTCTGCAAAGATATATCTCCTAGCAAAACACTGCAATCAACCTATCATCTATCTGTCTGTCTGTCTATCTATCTAGCTATCATCTAATTTACTGTGAGTGTGTGTCCCAAGGATTGAATTCAGGTCATCAGGCTTGGTGGCAAGTGCTTTTACCCACTGAGCCATTTGCCTGGCCCTCAATCAGCCTATTTCTAAGCTACTGTAAATCAGCACAGTTATTTATAGTCATTAATTATCAAATTGCAAAATAATAATAAATACAAGGGAATGCTCATGATAAACTTTTAAGTGCAGAATGGCAGGTACAAAATAGCATTTACCTATTTTGACCCAATTTAATTTTCTTCAAACTATTTGTACACCTATGAAAAAGCCTGTACGAGTATTCTCCAGGATGCTGTTAGTTGTTATTTTTAGCTGATGGGATTAAAGTGCTTTCAGTTTTTTAGAATTCATTTTTCTATTAATGATTATGGTATATTTATAATAAAAAAAAATGAACCTGATGTTTTAAAGTTCCAAGCGGGACAGAATCCCGACAGATAATGCTGAAGGGTGCTGTGGTGCTCAGTCATCTGTGAGGTAATAAAGGTGGCAGGACAAGGCACAGTGGCTCCCTGTTTTTAAAAAAGACATTTAGCACAGTGTGTAGTGAGGAAGGTCTGCTTTCAGATTTAAAGGAAGTGTCAAGCAGGTGAGAAGAGGCTGAACGCTTAGGGAAGTTTCAACTAGAGAAGGAAAGACACAGATGCAAATCCAATGACCTGGATGGGGGCAAAGGCTACAAAGGCTACTTGAAGAGGCTACAATAGTAAAAATCCCAACACAGCTCTGCAACCCAACAACATGTTCACAATTCTGTTTCTTTTGTGTGTATCACTGACAGATTACTTAAGAATTTTTCTCAGAGGAGCCAGGTGTAGTAGTGCATACCTTTAATCTCAGCACTCAGGAGGCAGAGGCAGACGGATCTCTGGGAGTTCCAGTCCAGCCTGGTCTACACAAGTTCCAGGTCAGCCAGTGGGATATTAGTATAAAATACATGCAATTTTATCTAGTGAATTCAGGTCATGTAACATCAAATTTGAACAGTGATCCAAACTGATATACTAAAATCCTGTAAAACTGTACTCTGCACTTTCTACATGGTGAACCAGTAAGATCCACCACCCCCGGCATGTCTACACTCCCTAGATTTTTAAGAATTTGTCTTTTTCCTAAATCAGGCAAAATCAAACGAGACGTCCAGACTACCTGGCTTCCGTACTTTCTTTGGTTCTTCATAGTCCTTGCTGTCTGGACTTGCAGATTCCAGAAAGCTGACTTCTTCAGTGACACTGACCTCCTCCTGGATCTTGAGGCTGTCTTCCTCATCTTGAAGGGGGGATTCTAATTCTGATTCCTCTGAATCAAGGAATATCTGGCCAGCGACTACTCTGCCTGTGGTGGTGTGGTCCTTCACCGACTCATCCGTTGGCAAAGAGCTCTAAGAACATAAGGCACCTGTCAGTCATCAACTGTACAAAGACTCCTTGTAGCCCAATCTCACCATTTGTCTGACCAACCTACAAGGAGCTTTCAGCTCCCTGTCATGTCAGACTCTCACCTTGCTATAGGCTGTGTGATGTGCTCACTGTAGGCCTTCACTACCTTACCTTGAATTTCAGCTTGGATGTTACTTTCCCACAAGTCTGCTTTAATCTTGAACATCACAATTAGATCTTCCTTCTACAAACTCACCCTACCTTAAACTTCCCCTTGATAACACTCTATTATGACTTCGTGTTTTATCTCTATTCCATAGAATCTAGAGATTAGCGTTCATAAGTAGTGCGATTTCTTGGATATATGAAAATCAGCTATATTTAATTAACTAATGAGGAAGTGCATTAAGTGCTTAGAGTAAAAAACTATATAAGTGGAAATATGGCAGATGTTAGATCTTCAAAATTAAAAAGGGAATAAAAGTGGGTGTGGTGGTTACATCTGAAATCCCAGGTTTGGGAGGTAGAGGCAGGGGGGTGAGAAGATCTGGGTTATCCTCAGCTATATAGTTAGTTTGAAGTAGCCTGAGCCACATGAGACTGTCCAAATAAAAAAGGAGGATTAAAATCAATCTCTCTTCAAGTAAAAAACATGTTACTGAACAAAGCTTTTGTGTGGAGGCACACCCATCCACACAGTATACTCAAACTCAAGTGGACATTAACCCTGACTGAAGCACCCTTAAAGGAAATCCTGCTATTCGCTCAGATCAGTGTTTAATGAAAAGAGCTAGAATTAATATTGAGATCTCTGTCTTCCTTTTAATTGAATTGTTACTCAAAAGTAATAATATGTCCTTTCTAAGGAACATAAGTCCCTACTTTTAACTGAGTCAGTGTAAAATTTCAGTACCCACCTTGGAATCTAAGGATTCATCCCGGTCACTTTCATCATCTGCAAAGAAATTTTAAGATAAATTATCTTTTTTATTGGGAATTACAAATATTAGAAAGCATTAGTATACAAAAGATGCTATCCTTCCCCATCTAGCAGAAGAGCTCAGGAATTTTAAGAATTGTATGTGAAGAAACTTGGAAGGAAGAACAGATATACAACAAATAAGCTGGGCCTTGTGGCGCAAGCCTTTAATCCCAGCACTGTGGAGGCAGAGGCTGGCGGATCTCTGTGAGATCAAGGCCAGCCTGGTCTAGATAGTTTCAGGACAGCTGGGCCTACAGGGAGACCCTGTCTCAAAACAAACAAAAACCAGGTAATAACCAGCTACTGGATAAATAAACCTATAATTATTTGAAAACTGACTGTATTCAGCAACTTCACAAAAGAGTAAGTGAAGGAAAAATTTTCTTTTTCCACATAGGAAACCGAAGGCCCTCCCTCTGACTTTCCCCAACCAATCCCTTCTTCAGATTCCATCTAAGTTAATAAAAATAAATCTGTGATTTCACATTCCAGGTCTTCACCTGCTGGTTTCGCTGCTGTTAGATGTTGAGTAACCTCAGTTTATTTTGATATTAATCAGCATTTTTTGATTCAATAATGCTACCAAGGGTGAGAACAAATAATTGTTATTATTTTTCAGCAGGGTTGAAAATATATTTAGATAAATTTGTTGAGATCTGTGGTGTACTCTACTACAGAGATAACCAGACAGCCATGGGTCAAAAGTAGCACTGAACTATTATCATACACCACTGTGGTAGTTTGAATAAGAATGTCCATTTTGGACATTTTGTCCCCAGTTGGTGGTGCTGTCAGGGGAGGCTTTAGGTGTGGCCTTGCTGGAGGAAGCATGTCACTGGGGTCACTAGGGGTGGGCTTTAAGAGTTCTCAAGCCTTGCTGGATTTCCTGTCTTGCTCTGCTTCCTCTGCCTGCTTGTAGTGTGATTGCTCAGCTTTCTGCTCGGGTCATCAACCTCCGCCATGCCTCCCCCACCATTATAGACCCTTACCCTGGAACCATAAGCTCAAATAAACTCTTCCTTCTGTAAGTTGCCTTGGTCAGCATGTGTTATCACAGCGACAGAAAAGTAACTAATACAAAAACAAATAAAAAACCAAAAGAAAAAAAAAGTAACTAATACAATCTTTTACCAAGGTTATTCATTAAAAATCAATAGCTGCCTTAAGCTGGGCATAGTGGTGTATGCCTTTATCCCCAGCACTCAGGAGGCAGAGACAAGTGGATCTCTGTGAGTTCAATGCCAGCCTGATCTACATAGGGAGTTCCAGGCCAGCTGGGGCTACAGGGAGACCCTGTCTCAGAAAGACTAAAAATCAATAGCTGCCTTTAAAAAAGGTGGGCAGGGAATGGTCAGATGGACTACATGGTGGCTTACAACTCCAGTTCCAGGAAATTCAACACCTTCTTTTGCCCTCCACTGGCACCAGGCATGCATGCAGCACACACATACATGCAGGCAAAACACTATATATATATACTTTTACAAAAAAAAGAAATCAATAGTTCAAGGCCAGCCTGGTCTCCATAGTGAGTTCCAGGACAGCTTGGGCTACAGGGAGACCCTGTCTCAAAAACACCAAAAAAAAAAAAAAAAAAGAATCTGGCTGGGCGTGTGGTGCACACCTTTAATCTGAGCATTCAGGAAGCAGTAGCAGGCAGATCTCTGTGAGACTGAGGCCAGCCTGGTCTGCACAATGAGTTCCAGGCCAGCTGGGGCTGCAGGGAGACCCTGTCTCCAAAAACAGAATTTAAACAAATGAACCCAGACATTATTTACACCTTTCTTACACCATACAGGTTGCTTCAGTTTTGTTGATAACATAATTATTCTTTTGTCATTCTTTCCATGTTTTCTGGCAATTTCTTCCAGTCTATGTGCCTGTTACCCTTTTTCCTGCTTTATAGAAGCAAGCAACAAGACAACGCCCAGGAGCAAATGTTTGATTTTTGTAGTCACTGCCAACTTAAAGAAAACTCCCAGGTAATCATCAGGTTTCCTTTTTGATCTTAAAATTACCTGAGTTTATGCTGCAGCAGGATTTAGTGTTCTCTTCCCCATAAACTATATGAGAAATTAACAATACAATTCTAGGAAACCATTTTTAATTAATTTTTTTAATCTACTGTCTCTTCCCCAGTGAAAACAATTTGTTTTTTATTAGAAAATTTGGAATTTTACTTCAGATGGTTATGTCCTGTTTGTAACTTATAATAAAAACATACTTTAGAGCTTTATTATCAAAATATTCAATTGATTTTAAGAAGTATAATCAGTTCATGTACAAAATATGCAACTCTTATTTCATAATATTTGTTTTGAGTATCTGAGAAAAACAGTCTACCAGTGAAGGTCTGCCATATGCAACAGTGCTGTCAATTCAAGGAAAACTTAAATGATGGCTACTTTTTGCACTCACTTGCTTTGAGATTATCTTCCAAATGTTTTATTTCTGGCAAGTTTTGAGGAGCAAAGGTATGGTATGCATTAGGCCCACAGTGCCCACCCATACCATTTTGGTGGTGATATCCATTAATTAACAATCTTTCCTCCTAACTTCTTGAAGTTCTAACAGATGGTTCAAATCCCATGGGGGGGGATCAATCTCTATTATGCATCAAAGTTGTAAGTACAAATGTGCTTAATCACAAATACCGACTACTTAATATTTGAGGATCAGGCATCAAGCATGCAAATTCATATACGATACATCTGGATACTCTGGACCTTTGGACTAGCTGCAATAGTAAATTGCTAAGGCTTAACCTTATTACATGGTCATATAGGTAGCTAGTAAGTAAATAATATTGATACCTATAAATAAATGTAGGCAAAGACATTTGAAACATTGCAAACTGTTAGGCATCAGAGGAGCAAAATGTGTTTTTAACTCCAGGAGAAAAGCCTTGTGACATCAGAGTGGTTTCATGTGAATTGCATCATGCTTTTCTCTCTTTCACCAACTAGGAGAATATGCTACCAAGACCTGGTCAACAAAAGAATTCTTTCTCAGTTACTAAACTGGGAAAACATCCCCCACATGGTAGCCTTAGAGATGGCTATTTTCTCTTTTCAAGAGATATTCACGAACACCTTTAAAAAAGTTTTTATAACTCTAATCACTTCTGATATGTAGTTTTCAGGTAAAGATTAAAGACAGCGAAGTCAGGCATAAAGAGAAAGTACACAGTAATGCTTTTTATCAGGCAGAAGTAAATATTAAGTAACAAAAAAAATGTAGAAGAATGCAACAAAGAGTTCTGAATTTCTCTTGAGTATCACATCTAAAATCTGTCAAACTACTAACTATGTATCTTTCTTAGCAAAAAGATCGATTTTCGTTTTTATTATACTACTTTATAAAGCTGCAAACTATTAGGCAGGTTTTGTCAAGGAAAGGCTATCATTACAAACTCATTTTACCATCTGTCATGCACATTAAAAAGTGCAATGAGTTTAGTGAAAAGCGATCAGCCATCCCGTTTTCACTTTGCCACTTTGCTGAAGACAGGTGTGGATCCTAGGGAATTCCTGATTCTAAACTTCCCCAACTCTGAGGCTTGGAGGCTTGGAAAGTTAAATTTGAGACCTGGTTTTTCCACATATGTATTTGGACAACAAGGTTCAGCATCAAAAGCTTGCTCAGCCTCTATTTTCTCAATCTGTCAAAAGGGATACCACGTATCCTGCAGTTTTACAATGTTGTAAGAACCAAAACAGCAAAACTGAACATCCTCAGCTATCTAAAAACTGCTCTCTGAATAACTTACCTGAAACACCCAGCAAGGTGTCTAACGTAGACTACAACACTCATCCTCATGTTCTCTCAGTCTCTCCCTGACCATTTCTACTGAACCCAGGGCCTCCTACAAAAAGGCACCAACAAGCTACACTCCCATTTCTTTTTTGAAATACTTTTATTATTTTTATTTTATGTGTACGAGTGTTATGCCTGCATGTAAGTAAGTGCACCCATGTTGCACAATGCCCACGGTGGACAGAAGAGGCTGTTGGATTCCCTGGAACTGGAGTTATGGACAGTTGTTAGCTGCCATGTGGGTGCTGGGATTTGAACCCGGATCTTCTGCAAGAACAGTCAATGTTATTAACTTGCTGAGCCATCTCTCCAGCCCCTTACACTCCCATTTCTAAAGAGAAAAAATGATAGTCTTTCACTGTAATTTTGAGAAAATGAAGGAGAAATAACTTTTCGCTCTCTTTTCAATGTTTTCATCCACAAGGAAAAGAAAACTTTTTTTTTTTTTCTTTTTGAGACAGGGTCTCCCTGTAGCCCCAGCTGTCCTGGAACTCACTATATAAACCAGGCTGGCCTTGAACTCACAAAGATCCGCCTGCCTCTGCCTCCCAAGTGCTGGGATTAAAGGCATGCGCCACCATGCCTGGCAAGAAAACATATTTTTTTTCTATCGTTTTGAAGCAGGGTCTCCCTGTAGCCCCAGCTGTCCTGGAACTCACTATGTAGACCAGGCTGTCCTTGAACTCACAGAGATCTGCCTGCCTCTGCCTCCCAAGTGCTGGGACTACAGGTGTGCGCCACCACACCCGGCTGAGAAAACATTTTTAATGTAAGTACTATACTTTCACATGTCTCCAAACCAATTTATTAGATGATGTTTACAGTATTAGATGATGTTTACTAACAGTGACAGAATTACCTGGTTATAAGTTCAGCCTGTTCTGGATACCATTAATATTAAACACAAAATTACCATAAAAAACCTATTTAAGAGCAAAGCTTTAAATCTAAATTTTAAAGTTGAGGTTAAAATCCTAAGTGCTTTAATGAATGAAATGGTGAACTAAAAAATCCAAGCCTTTGGTTTATAAAGCTTTACAGCACGTTTGATGATATTTGAACTTCATGAGAGCAGAAAAGAGATGTCTCTTGGTCTACCCAGATGCCTGGCTCTCCAACACCTAGGATGTCCTAACCCTAGATATCTCATGGTTACAAAATCCAAGGGTGGCAAAGTCTCTTATATTAAATAGAACAGTATTTACACATAACCTATGCCACTTCTTACTTTTATCAAGTACAAGGTAAATGCCATACAATTAATTATTATACTGTTTAGGAAATAATGACAAGAATAAAAAGTCCACACATGTTTAAGTACATAAACCTTTTTCCCTCCAGGTATTTTCCATCTTAGTTTGGTTGAATCCGACAATGTGGAACTTGTGGATGAGGGGGGGTTGATTGGTCTTTACTATCTTTCATCATGATTTAAAAAAATATTTTATTACTTTTATTTTATGTGTATATTGCCTGCATCTAGATAAGTGCACCCGTGTTGTGCAATGCCCGCAGAGGACAGAAAAGACTGTTGGATTCCCTGGGACTGGAGTTATGGACAGTTGTTAGCTGCCATGTGGGTTCTGGGATTCAAACCCGGGTCTTCTGCAAGAACAGTCAGTGTTCTTAACCACTGAGCCATTTCTCCAGCCCCTCATCATGACTTTTATATTGTAGCTCTGGCCAAGTTTCTGCCTGTACCAGAGAAATGCTTTGGCACCCTTTCACTGTGATGGAAATCAGAGTAGACATTTCTTAAACTCAGTAGTCTGCTTACATGACTACAACCCTAAGACTTAACATCAGTGTTAACAGTCTTTTACTATAACATCCTAAGAATCTCAACTGGTGATCTTCAAATATCATTTCCTATGACCCAGGGCTCGAGTTATACAGGATATAGTCAGAGGAAGACGTAGGAAAATTTGCAATGCTGTAACCCTCTTCACACTCTGCAAACTGAACTTCAGAGGAATAGCCATTATGTTCTTTCATTACTGAAATCTTCAAAGTTTAGTGTGAAGAATCACGGAGCTGGTATCTGGCATATTCTAGACCTAAAACTGAATTCTTAACAAAGTCGTAGGAGAATTCTGTTGCTAGTGGTCCACAGTCCATCAGGTACTTTACCCGAGAAACTCAACAGTCATCCTTCACGCTTCTTTTGGACAAATAACAGCTAAAACTGCCGCAAGAAACAAGTACTACATCGTCTTTAAAGAGTCGATCATGACCACAAAGTATCCCCTCAAAAGGAGCATGATGGCTCTCAAGCATGATGTTGGCAATCAGGTGATTGGCATGAATTTGTTGCTTTTGAAATGATGTCACCAAACACTACGTGGGCAGAATTTTGGTTTAGATCTCTTATTTTAGAAATAGGATAATGTTATGGCTTTCATTTACAACTAGGACAGATAATTTGGGGATTCAAATAACCATCTGTGAAATTTTCTGTTGCCAAAAAAGGTTGACATTTATATTTTGCACTGTTCCAAAAAATTTTAAATCCACTGAACAGCTGTCTTTTAAACTGAAATGGGTTAAAATCTCAATGTTTTACTGCATCCAATGTTTATCTACTTAGGCATTCCAAGTATTTTTAAAATAAACATTTCCAAGCTAATACATTTTCTGATGTAGGCAGGTAAAACATTCAAAAGGGAAATAATTTTTAGGAAGAGTATAGGCCAGCTGGTTGGAAAAAAAAAATTTATCAAAAGCACACGAATTTCTATCCAGAATAAGGTGAAACTATTTTCGACTCATTTTTAAAGAACCAAGCCTTTCTTGAAAACAGCAAAATGACTATCAATACACACCAGGCAACACAGAAGCACTGTGACAGAGGTCACACTTCCTCGATTCCGGAGAGTGGCCACAACGACATCGGTCTTCGTTTTAAAAACAAGACCTTATAGGCCAGGGATCACTTGGGTGTTGGGCAATTCACGTCACTGTCAGCATCCTAGTCCTGACCCACCCTGCTCTTCTCAAAGTGACAGCTCCAGGTGTGTCAACTACAAACCCCAGCCCATTCCAGAACCGTGGCCAGCACTGTCCACGTCGGGGGTCGAGAAGGCCGGGCGGGTGTAAACCAGGCACAGGGATGCCTTTCCACCGAGTTCAGTGCTCATTCGTGAAAGTTTGCTGCGTGAGAGCAGCGTGGGCAGTGGCCACCCCTTCCTTACCTGCAGCTCCTCTTCGGCCCAGGCCAACAGCAGCCCCAGGGAAGAGCAAGTGACAGGCAGGGAGAGGAGCGAGCAGAGCCCGTGGAGCCCCACGGCCCGGTCCCCACCCAGGTCGGGGGCGGCGGCTTCAGGCCTGCAGCCCGACGCCGGATACTGACCCGAGGACGCGGCCGCCGAGCCCAGGAGCACCGCGCAGAGCAGCAGCGTCAGTCCGACGCGGACCTGCATCCTGCCCTCAGAGGTTCGGAGCCGCCGTCACTACCGCCGCCGCCTCGGCGCTGCTTTTCCTGCTCCAGCTCCTTCCTAGCCCCTTCCCAGGCCTCCTTGGCCCAGCGCGCGGCCAATCCCAACCCGCCGCCCCGGCATCCTTGCCCAATGGCTGTGGTCGCCCCGCCTCACTCATGGCCGTGCCCCCGAGCTCACCTATTAGCCAATCATTGTGCGAGCTTCTCACACCAGCTTTCCGGGTTGGACCACGACCTCACCGACATGGCCCCAGCTAATTGGTAGCTCCTGGATCAGACCGTGAGTAAAGGGCTAGGAGAAAGAGCTTTACTCAGGACTACAACTCCCATAGTGCACTTTATTAGATCCACTTGGCGGAGGCCATTGGGAAGTGTAGTCCATCATGGGGCAAGCGTCCAAGCTCCTGGCGACTGTTAAAAGTAAGGAGGATATAACCAATACTTGGGCTAGATTCTTTTGCATCTGAAGCAAAATAAATATCAAGGAACAGGTATCATAAGGTTAACAAATTGCAAAGGCCGCGGTGGTGGCGCACTCCTTTAATACCCGCATTTGGGAGGCAGAGCTAGGAGAATCTCTGTGAGGGCGAGGCAAGCGTGGTCTACATAGCGAGTGCCAGGCCAGTTGGGGCTACAGGGAGACCCTGTCTCAAAAAGACTGAAAAATAAATAAATAAATAAAAAATTGTAAGGTTGTTGTCCTAGTTACTTTCTTGCTGTAATGAAACACTGATTGAAACCATCTTGGGGAGGAAAGGGTTTGTTTCCTCTTACCCTTCCAAGTAACAGCACATTATTAATGGAAGCCAATACAGGAACTTAAGCTGGGAGGGAACCTGGAGGCAGGAACTGAAGCACAGACCACAGGGGAACACTACTTACAGGCTTTGGCCTCTGTCTGTGCTCAGCCTCCTTTATGTACAATCCAGGACCACCTGCTCAGTGGTGGCACCACCCTCAGTGGGCTGGGCCTTCCCACAACAACAAAGAAGAAGATGCCTCACATACATGCCCACAGGCCAATCTGATAGAGGAAATTCTCCAATTGAGGCACCCTTTTCCCAGGTATGCCAAGTTGACAACTGAAGCTGTCCGGCACAGTTGTTAAGCATCACAGTGTATATTTTGAAAATTTGAATTGCACATGACCTGAGCACTGAGAAAAATGCTATAACTATAGTGAAATTTTTAAGCATTTAAAAACTTAAATAAAAAAACTAACAGGTTATGTAAAATGGATGGGGTTTTTCATTTGCAAATAGAAGACACAAAGTTGGGGGTGGTTGTGGGGGTGGTAGGTTGAGGGTAGAGATGGGGGAGGAGGTCTGAATATAATAAAAATTCATTGTTTGAAATTCTTGGATCAATAAAATTTCTCTTAAAGTTAAAAAGAAAAACTTAGGTATTGTTTGCTGAGCATGGTGACACATCTTTAATCCCAGCACTTGGGAGGCAAGGCTAGTGGATAACTGAGATCTAGGCCAGCCTAGGATGTTCTATATAGTGAGTTCCAGGCTAGATGGGGCTACATAGTGAGACCCTGCCTCAAAAGACCAAAAATCAACCACTGCCATTACCACCAAAAAAAGATCCCCATCAAAAACCAACCAACCAAACCAAACCAAAAAACTCAGGTATTAAAGAAAAAAGCTTACAAGCTGGGCATGGTGGTGCATGCCTTTAATCCCAGCACTTGGGAGGCAGAGGCAGAGGCGGATCTTTGTGAGTTCAAGGTCAGCCTGGTCTACATAGGAGTTCCAGGAGAGCTGGGGTTACAGGGAGACCCTGTCTCAAAAAGACAAAAAAAAAAAAAAAAAAAAAAAAAAAAAAAAAAAAAGCTTACAGGACTGGAGAGATGGTTCAGTGGTTAAGAGCACAGCTACTCTTGCAAAAGACTTGGATTTGTCTCCCAGCACCCACATGGCAGCTAACAACTGCCCATAATTCCAATTCCAAAGGATCTGATGCCCTCTTATGACTTCTGTGTGCAGTGCATGACACAGGTAGGTACACTTACAGATATGCAGGCAATACACACATACACATAAAAATAATACATAAAATATATTTTTTTTAAATTTAAAAGCAATAAGGTAAGGCAATACTGTGGTTTATAGAAGCTGGACTAAAAACAATTACCAGTTGATCCTCTTTCCCCTGACAAAACAAAAGGGAATACGTTGTACCCAGTGAAGATGATCTTAGCACCCATGTTCATTTTTTGCTAGGGCTGCCAGAGCTACCAGCCACCCAGAAAATGTGCCAACAACTTCTCCAAAACCCTTCAAACAGTTGTCTTCATTCTTCTCTTGTGAAATATTACACTCTTCTCTTCCTTGAGCAGAAACAGGATTAGCTGCTTGTGTGGAAATGCAAGTGGGAGCCAAGGCATTGCAATCAAGGTACATTATGTAGTAAGCTCTGATTCCGACACCTTCCTTCTGAGTAATACGGCAGCAGCTTGGAGCTCTTGTCATCTTCTTAATCGGTGCTATTCTGCTAAAATTATTTCCCACCACCTACATATGGTCAGCTCTCAGGCCAGGAACACAGCAAGGGCCACATTTCAAGGTTGGGGAAAACCTGCCTTGTTTCAGTGACTTGACACCACTTGGACAGTTGTTTTCCACCTTCTTTGAGAATTTGCAAGGAAGGCAGTAAAGAATAACTGCTGTTCTTTATTTGAATTAGAGACGATGAAGAAAAGATATCTTTTGTTTGTTTTTGAGATGGTCTCATTATGTAACCCTCCTGGCTTGGAACTCACTATGTCGCTAGCCCTGAATTCATAGAGGACCACCTGCCTCTGCCTCCCGAGTGCTGGGATTAAAGGTGCTCACCACCTGACCTAGGAAAGACATCTTACAAACAAGTTCTTTCCTTTTCCTTTTGTGTATGTGTGCATGTATATTTGTGTGTGTGTGTGTGTGTGTGTGTGTGTGTGTGTGTGTGTATGTATAGACCATAGGTTGATGTCAGTGTCTTCCTCAATTGATCTCCACTTTATTTTTTGAGACAGGATCTCTCACTGAACCCAGGGCTCTTTAATTCAGCTAAACTGGCTGGTCACCAAGTCCTAGGGATCTTCCTGTCTCTTCCTCTCCAGTGACAGGATTACAGGTTGGTGTTGCTGTATCTGACTTTTTAAAACTTGGCTTCTGGGGATAGAGTTCAGATCTTTATGTTGTGCAGCAAGGAGACTTTACAGACTGAGCCATCTCCCCAGCTTGTACCCTGCCATTCCCCAACCCCTCTGATAGGGTCTCACATTGTAGCCCAGGCTAGCCTGGAATTCAGTATGTGACCTATACTGGCCCTGGATTTGTGGCTGTGCTGGGATTATAGGCGTGAGCTACTAGGCCCAGCTCCATGTTCTCTTTCTCCTGCCTCCTTGGCTCTTATCTTCATTTCTGTCTCTAAACATGTTTCCTCAAACTTCCTCTGATTTTAAATCAGAGAGTAAAATCTGGTTTATTTTCCCAACATTTCATCTTATGAATCATTCAGTCCTATCCATTTGAATCATGTAATTATTTTTTAAATGTACCTTTATTTTTCAATTAACTTATACAGCAGCAGGTTTCCTTATGGCATTTTCATACATGTCACATAATTATTTACTTTTTTCTCTTTTTTACTAGAAACTCTCACTCACTGACCCTCATTTTCTTTTCCTTGTAATGTGCACTGGATCCTAGTGGCTGTATTTACTGATGTCAGGTGTTGGTCTCTCTTCAGTCTAACCTAAGATACACATGATGGCTATGTTAATGTTCCTTAAATGCTCCATTTGTATATCTGAAAATGTCATCGACCTCTGTTTTCATAGAATCAGAAACAATAGAACTTCCTTTACTCATAAAATAGGAACGTGTGTTCACAGTTCTCATTTTGAGGAAGCAAGTTCTGCTTTCCACACATGAAACAGTGATTATCTGCTGATTAAGACTGGGAAAAGGCAGCTGTTTCTAGAGGGCCCGACTTCTCTTTTCATTTTTGTCTTTACTGAGTGCTTCGTGTAGTTAGGGGCTGGCTGGGTGCTGCATTGGTGGAGTTCCATTCCTCTGTATCTGCTTTACAGGTTTCCACATTAGTACAGTCTAGCCTTCTCTTGGGCCCTCGTAGCTTCTTTGCAACCACCTTACTTACTCATTGCTACAACCTTGCATCCTTCTCGATTTTGCTCACATGTCTTCTTGGCTGAGACTTCCCCAACTAAGTCCTGTCCTTGTTATCTTTATTTCTCTAAGTATCTATCAGACATTTTCAACCTTGCTTTTTAAACGGGTATAAACTTGCTGAGATCAGACACCATTTGAATGATTCTTTGTATGGGTATATAGCACTGGACTTAATATCTACTAACACCAGATAATTGTTGATTGATATACTTTTCTTGTCTGTCTTGAGTTCCCAAATTGAAGGGAAAAATCACTTTCTACATTGTAGAGTGCTTGTCAAATGTTACTGTTTATTGATTGTTCATACGGGGTAGATTTTAGTTTTAGTCCTTTAATTTGGATAAGGTCAGGAAATAGTGTGGGAAATCAGATTTATTTGGTCAGCCTGCTTGCTACTTTGAATGATGTTTAGTTAGATAAAAGGCTGTGAATTCTCTGTGGCCTTATCCAGTCTGAGCATACGCTCCTTCAGGTTCCCTGCTGGCATTCCCAGTGAAGGTTATGTACTCAATCTGCTTGCACACCATGTTAATGCTATTGTTTGGCAATCCATAGTATTTGCTCAGCTGTCTGATTCTATTCTGTCTGTCCACATCAGTGTTCTAGGTTGCTGTTGTAGATTTCCAAGTTGCAGAAAATCTGTTTGCCCTTCATTGCAACACACAGCATAGAACTGGCAAGGGGGAGGGAAGACGTGCCTTTTATGCAGATCGTATTGATGTGACCTCATTTCACTGAAACTTTTTGTTTGTCTGTTTGTTTGTTTGTTTGTTTTGATCTTTTTGAGGCAGGGTCTCCCTGTAGCCCTAGCTGGCCTGGAACTTGTTATGTAGACCAGGCTGGCCTTGAACTCACTGAGATTCACCTGCCTCTGCCTCCCAAGTGCTGGGATTAAAGGCATGTGTCACCATGCCTGGCACATTGAAA